AGTAAATATTAACTTGTTTTTATAGTAATATTTAACAGTTTTTTTGGTACATATAAAGGGTGATTCAGAATCATGGGATAATAGAAGACATTTGAGTATAAGAACCCATTATGGGTTCTTATACTTAAATGTCTTCTATTATTATGGGTTACCCATATCTCTCGACATTTAATTTCACAATTCTGAATCACTCTAGAGTATAGCTGTATACAAACATACATAAAATTATAAAATAAAAGCATCATATAAATATTTTATATATTTATTGCCACAAACATATTTTAAAACAAAACAAAAATATTCCAAAAATAACTAAAAATAGTTTTTTCTTAGACTCTATTTATCACAAGAGAACAACATATAAAAATAAAAGTTAAGTTTAAGTATCTAAATAATTCGGTATTTTTATAAAATTAATTTGTGAATGACAGTGAATGTTAGCTTTTTACATAATCTATAAATAAATTCATTTACTTCCCTTCTTAAAATAATTGAATTTAAAACATATTTTAAAACAAAACAAAAAATATTTCAAAAATAAAATAATAATATTATATTATAACAGTTTTTCTTAAACTCTAATTATCACAAGAGAACAAAAGATAAAATTAAAAGTTAAGTTTAAGTATCTAAATAATTCGGTATTTTTATAAAATTAATTTGTACTATTTAGAATCACATATTCATAACTTTGTAAGTAAATGAATTTTTACATAATCTATAAATAAATTTATTTACTTCCCTTCTTAAAATACTTGAAATTAAACCAAAATTGTAACATATTTAAATAATACGATGCACCACAAAATAACAACCTACTCTTACCACTGCCACTGTTGCTATGCAATGCAAATGAAGGATCGGCTCGTCACTAGACAAGTTTAAAGTTGACTCATGGTGGTTGACTATACAAGGGAGTTAATTTTACTATAATTATAGTAATAAGCAATATCTCGTATATTTATTACAACCATAATTTAAAATCTGGTGTAACTAAATTTATTTTAGTTAAAGATGGTATAAAATATAGTTAATTAAATATGTTACTATATTTGTGGTGTATTACTTACTAAAAATTATATTTAAAGTTACAATTCTATTTTAAAATATTTTTATAGTCAGTGCTAATAACTTGGTATGTTGTTTTTAATATAATTTATAGTGACTATTAATAAAAATAGTGTACTATAAATTTTCGACTATCCATTTCTTTCCGTGTATATATATATATTTCGCTTTGTTTAAACATAAAATAAATAAAGTGTAGGTATAAAATAATAAAAATAATATTATCACTGGTAAGGACAATCATTTTACTCCTCTTTTGTAAAAAATAAACCTTATTCTATGAAATGTCAATTTGAAGGTAAATTTGTGGGTTATAAAATATCCTTAAATTAACCTTCAAATTGACATTTGACAGCCCTGATAGAATAAGGTTTATTTTTTACAAAAGAGGAGTAAAATGATTATTCTTACCACTTTGAGGTCTCTTTTAAGGCTTGCAAGTCTCTCTGTAAGAAACACAACGTTTAAAATGATTATTAATCTGTACAAACCCAAAGCGCAAGAATTGTAAACAACAAAAATGGCCGCCATTGTATGATGCACAGACCATGTTTTGGTGGTCTGTGGTATGATGTGCAGTGATTTTTAGTATTTTTACTTTGAGATCGAACAGACCTTGTTGTGTCGATTGTGGTCTATCTCGTACTTAAAACCACAGCAACACTGCACAGAGTTAAAAGGCGGCCATTTTTGTTATTTACAATTCTAGTGCTTTGGATTTGTGCTGTTTAATAATCGTTTAAAAAATTGTTTTTTACAGAGGAACTTGTAAGCCTCAAATGAGACCTTAAAGTGCCAAGGACAACAATTTTACTCCTCTTTTATAAAAAATAAACCTTAATCTATCAGGGCTGTCAAATGTCAGTTTGAAGGTTAATTTGTGGGTTATAAATTAACCTTAAAATTGACATTTGTCAGTTTGATGACAGCCCTGATAGAATAAGGTTTATTTTTTACAAAAGTGGAGTAAAATGGTTGCACTTTAAGGCCTCATTTAAAGCTTACAAGTGCCTCTGTAAGAAACACAACGTTTAAAACGATTATTAATCTGTATCAACAGCACAAACCCAAGGCACAAGAATTGTAAACAAAAACATGGCTGCCGTTAAACTCTGTGCTCTGTGCAGTGTTGCAGTGATTTTTAGTAGTTTTAGTAAGATATATATATATATAGATATATGTGTGGATTGTGGTATCACCTATCGAAAAAATGATGACAGTTTGATTTATTTACAATTAGATTATTTCCCTCATTATAATATGAACCAATCAAAAGCCTTGAATTTTCGAATAAATAAGCGATTAAATCACTAGAACTATTTAACAGCGATTAAATTTTAGCCTCCATATTGGATTTTTGTTTACGATTTTATGGTGTTATTTACAAGTTTTAACAAACATTTTTTAAAAAACAATAAAAAATAAGTTATCTAGTTTACGAAATATCAATTATTACTTATTATATACCTTACATTAATGGAATTTTCTTTAAAAAAATATTTATAAATTTTGACACATACGTCAGATTTCTTTTTGGAAAATAGTTTCATGCAAAATAATTAAAAATAAAACCCCTCGACCGCTACGCGGTCTCGTGATTTTATTAAATTATTTTGCATTCAACATTTTCCAAGAAAAACCAAACAAAAAACTACTGAGCCTAGTTTAACCGATTAAATTCATAGTTCTCGTGATATAATATATGATTAAATCTGACTAATTATCTTATGTGTTTATTTACATTTTTTATTCCAATATGTTTTTAAATAAATATCTGCAACTAATTTGCTTTAAACATATGTTAATTAATTAGTTAATTTAAATTAAAATGTATTTAAGGCATAATAGTTTTCTGTTGCGAATTATCAGCTTTAAATTAGTAGATAATGTATTTTAGGTCTAAAGACCTAGTAACATTAGGATAATTATAATGTTGTAACCTTACCTTAGAATTGCAAATTACTTTATTTCCATATTACTTTTGCATTTTTAAATAATAAATTATAATAATTGATTTATTTAAAGGGTTAGCTAATGATACCAAAACTATTTTACATTACTGTTATAACATTGTAAAATCGATGAATTAATTATCAATTTATTGTTTATTTTATAATATAGGTTATGTTATATTTAATTGCATGCAACATTTTAATAATTTTGTATTAGAATTAATGAAATTTGGTTTACACAAAGATTACATTAATTTTCAATTATTGATAATTATTGAAAACTCAATGTACATGTATATTTAGGACGTTTTTAAAAGCTGTATAAATAAGTTAACAATTTTTCTACTAGTTAAAAGTGTGTTAAAACTAAATAGCGCTTTTAAAGAATAATTAAAATACTCAAAAATAATAGTATATTATATAGTTTAATAAATGGCATTAATTAGGCATAAGCGAAGCTTCCGAGCGAATGTTTAATAAAAACTAGTCTTTTGAAAAGTTTATAAACCAGTTGCTTACTATACTTTATCTAAGACAAACACAAAGAAGAATTTTAAGCTAATTTTATTTGTTAAACATTTGATATCTGACAAATGTCAAACAAATTTAACCTCACTTTTTTCCGATTTATAATAAAGCTAACTTTAGCCCGTGACTAAGACGGGATAAAGTCACAGCTTGTCAAATTGAGAGGAGATAAATAATTTAATAATATTTTTGCATCTAAAAAATCTTCGAATTTTCTAGATTTGCAGCTAGTCTCTAGCTGCAGCTGATGCCTTTTGATAAATTTTGGTTCCTATTTAAAAACAAGAAACATTGTAGTGCGGTTACACTTATTTTAACAAAATACCAAAAAAGTGTCAGTTCAAGTGGTAAAAACCTCAATTTTAACTATTAGTTATTATCCTTATTAGATTAATAGTATATTGTGTATGAAGTTTGATAAACGCCATTTAAGACACGAATTTAATTAATGAAAAGTTTATAAACGAGTTGCATACTAAATTTTTTTACGACAAATACTTATTATTATCTAAAAATTATTTAAATTGGGTATTTGTATAGAGCGCCATCTATAAAACAATGGGGGAATCTGTGTTACCGTCAAATGTCAAATTTGTATGTTTTATAAACATAGATAATATATCAAAATCCCTTGAAAGTGGATTAAACAGTGTTTTACAGTGAAAGTGAAGAAAATGTTTTATTAGCATTTCACGGTGGAGTCCGAGCCCGACTTTAAGTTATATCTAGTTTACTGCCAGCGAAATTAAAAGGTCAGTATACTGTATACAATGTTCATATAAACTTTTCAAGTATTGGCGTTGAGAAACTATTTATTGCTTTTGTATTTTTGAATTGAGATAATAAAATAATTTTGGCATTTAGTATTATTTTACAAGAAGGGCACTTTATTTTAACGATTGTAGGACATTTGTCAACTTTCAACTTACTTAAAGCCAGTAACTAAAATCCTGTTGCTAACTTCAGCCCGTGACTAAAACCCCATAAAGGCACAACTAGTATTATTGCGATAATACATTTTTTAATTTTTAATTTTGAAATATTTAAACAGTGGTATGTTAATTTTAATTTTTGATAGTTAAAAAGAAAAAGCACTTCCATGCTTATTAATTTATTTTATAAAAACCGACTAATTTCGCCTGCAGGCGTAAGGATTTCTACAAGAAATAAGTTAGTAACATATGTAGAAATAAAAATACTTAAATTAATCTTACACGTCAATGTTGAAATAAACAATTATATGAAGAGGACATTACAGTATTTACTTTATCTATAATCGCATTAAAAACAACATTTAAATTAAAAAATTAATATTATAAATTAGGTATATTCATTCAAAACAACATTTAAAATAAATATTAAAATCGCAACAATTTTGTTTTAAAAATAATTTTTAAAACTTTTATTTGATATTTAAAAAATCGTATTTATAAAACAAAAAATGGCACTCACCGATTGTGCCGTAAAGAGCGCTGGATGGTGCCGATGGCAAAGGTACATGCGGAAGGTATTTTCTTAGTTTCTCAGGATGACCAGCGGGATTCGAACAAGGCGAAGAACCCGACGAGTCACAATCTACACTGCGTTCAACATTTATTACCGGTGACTTCTTCAGATCTATTATTTCGTGTGTTCGCTTTCTGATCATCGCCTCGTCCTGTATCTGCGCCCTTCGCAACGCGGACTGTATGTCATTCACCCTTCTGCCCGGTATAACATCTGCAAAGAGGAAACACCAAATTTTGCCAGGCCATGCGTACTTTGTACTGAAACATTCTTATAGTATATCTTACCTTTTTCAGGTCTCGCAGGATAATTCATTAATTTAGTTTCTTTTGCACATCGGTAAAAATGAGGTAGATAAATAACATTACAACTGCAGTTTTTGAACAGCAGGAATTAAAGGAGGTATTTTTTGACATTTTCGCCTTTTTGGCAAATTCAAACTGTGTAACCGTTTGAGAAACTTAATAGGTTTTTATTTAAATTTATGAAGCAAAAGAAAAAGAATTATAAATAAACAGGAAATATTATTTGTGAATTTAAATAAATTAATGATTTCTCTTTGATGAAGATATGCCTTTATTACTAAATTAAATGATATACATTTTTCTATGAAATATGCTATCAGGGTTTGATAACGCGTTTCTGTTACGGTATTGTTGCTAAAAATAAAACTATTTACAACAAAAATAACAGGAACAGAATAACACGGAAACTTTTGGTATAGAAACAAAACAAGTATTAATTAAAACATAAGTAACGAAACAGTATCGAAACTACCGCGCGATTAATAAACTTTAAGTTGGCGTTGGCGCTACTTTTAAAAATATTTTAAATCGATGATATGTTTATATTCTAGTTTAAATTATTAATATAGAGTCCATAAAAAACATTTAAATGAATTAAATAATAACATATCTAGGGTTTTAAAGAGTCGGAAACCTGTTTTTCCGTTTTTCCCAAGGCCTTCTAAAATTGTCTTTTTTGGGTTTGCTTTTTAATATACCCATTTGAAAAAAGTATCAATCAACAACTTAACTTAATTTTAATCTAAAAAAATATCCTTTATTACAGAAAAAACAATTTTTGTTTTTTTTTTAATATACCCATTTGAAAAAAGTATCAATCAACAACTTAACTTTATTTTAATTTAAAAAAATATCCTTTATTACAGAAAAAATAATACTAAACATTGAATTAAATTAGATTGATTTAAGAAAATAAACGTAAACTTGAAAAAGGACAACTTTGGTGATATTTTTAACAAATAATGGAAATATTCCCTAACACCAAAACAAAACACATAGTGCTTATTATTTGGTTAAATAAACTATCGGTTGGGTCTGTTTTGCAAAAAGGAGTCCGTTGAAAATATCCAATTATATAAAGTTAAGTTACAAAATTTTAATTTTATAAATCGAAGTGTCAAATAAAACGTTCCCCAGTAGTACAAAATTGGACCTATATGGGGCGCATCTATGCCCAATATTTTATCTGGGGCCAATATTGGATTTATTTGGCCGATGTTAACCCTTATCCAAGGTTGGTCCTATATTGGCATATTATTTTACGCCAACATATCATTAACTATAGTCAACGAAGCTTTCGGATTTCTAAAAGTGATATGTAACACACACACGTTTGTTTTCAGGATATTTCTATACTAGTGGCGTAGGAGTGGTTTTAAGTTGGGGGGTGGCGCAACCGACTACCATCCTTATTGTTTAGCACCAAATGGGTAAAAATAATAAAGGCCAAGGGTAATATGCGATTTCTTGTCTTATTAGCAATAAAATTTGTTATTACGTTCTGATTTTTAAGTAAGTAAAAACGATTGGGAGAAACGCATTTTGTTTCTATACTATGTTTCGGTAGCAAACCCTGTATATTTATTAAATATCGTGATATTTTGAACCCTGTTTTTAACCTTTTTAAAGAACCGAATATATTTGAATTTATAGAACAAATTTTGCAATTCCCAATTCGTCGCTTTACTTTAAGAACTTAATAATTATCTTGCCTCGCGCGCTCACGCCAAAACGGAATGAAACAAATGAGCTTTGATGACGAAGTACACAGAAAAAAATCTAACATTACCAAGAACAGCGCTGTCATTGAATGCATTAAAATTGAAGCAATCTAGATTGTTATTTGCTCAATTAATTACTATTAAACCAAAATAGGAAAATATTTTGCCTAAATGTCAAATAATTTATTGCGTTAAATGTACACTGAAAAAAATTATCTTACTTTTATTCTACTTTTGTAGTAGTAAAGTGACTTTGACTAACTACAACAGGGACAATGTTATTAGGATTAATATTAAATGAGAGATACATACCACTACGAAATGGTATACTCTGTAAATTAAATTTACCACTACTATAAGTAGCACGGATTATAACAAAATAGTTAAAAATTGTACAATTCTGCGTCATGGATAATTTTACCATTACAACTGGTTCGTAATAAATAGCTTACCACTACAAATAGTAATTTTTTGACGTTTACCACTACTGTGGTTAATACTAATAATGTTATAATTAAGTAATGAAATTTGGTACGAATCAAGGAGCAACGGAAAATTTGGCCATTGTGGTTGTCTGTTTACGGCTTTGCATAGTGCGTAGTTTTGTGATATCATACTGTTTTTATCGTGTTGTGAGTAGGTGTGGAACAGTTATTAAAGGACTGGGATATTGTGGAACTACTCCCCATTTTAACCGGTACGGATCGTAAAACGCATTTTACCTATAGGTATTATAATATTGATTTTTGGGGGTTAACTATAACTCGTTTTCTCTCGATGTTTTAAAATAATACCTATGTTACCGGCAAGGTTTTTACTTCTCACATTCACTAGGAAGTGTGCGCAACACTAATTTAGAAGAAAAATTAAATTAACAAACACATGTTATTTATATATTGGTTGGGTTGGGTTTTTACTGCATAATTCAATTTCTCTAAAAATATTCGTACACTGAGAAAAAATGGGACAAATAATCTGTGTAGCTAATATTTTTATTAATAGTAAATATATTGTTTATTACCTCTAAATAGTCGAAATAATAACGATCAATATACTTTAGTAAAACTTTATGTGTCGGGAATAAAAATATATTTAGGATAAATAAACTGTACCCTTGTCCCATATTTAAATATTTTTTTTATTTGGGAGTAATAAACTTTTTTCTCAGTGTACGATAATTTAAGGATATTTGTACGATAATTTAAGGATCCGCCATGTTTTTTATTATATTTAGTTATTGCATAATTTTTGTAGGTCTTATTTAACTTATATTTTTGTGGAAATTCATATAAATAATTTTATTTTAATAAAGAATGTTTTTAATATAATTGTCATTTATTTACTACCTTACCGTGCTGTTGAGAAAACCTAATTATAGGGGTAAGTGCAATCAATAATACAAATTAAACAATGATTTTGGCTAAGGTTCGCCTTACTGTTATATCCTGTTTTAAAAACTATTTAAGTAGCTAAAATAATATACTAAGCGTACCATATACCAATATGTATTCGTAAGTTTCAACAGTGTGTAGTGGTAAAAGGTTTTAATAAAACGGTTATTGTATAACAACATGTAGTGGTAAAATTTAATTAAAGCAGTAGTGGTAACGATCACTTTGCTGTAATGTCAATTCGTAACAATAACTCATTACCATTCTGTAATGGTAGCAACTAAGGTTCTACTGGTTGGCGCCTATTTTACCATTACCATGGGTACCGCTGACCGCTTTTTTTTTTCAGTGTATACATTTTAACATAATATTAGAAAACTGTATTTTGTTAAACATATAATTGGGACGCGTTTCGAGAAAGGCGAGAGCGCTATTAAAGACAATTATACGAAAAATGTTTAGTGCATTGTTACGTGCAAAATAGTCACCGAAAATTATTTTTGACTTCGATAATTAAAAAACATAAATCGAAATTTTGACGCTTTGGTCCATTTTCTCGAACCTCTGGGACCCTGGGAATTCATGTTATCCAATATTGTGGTCAACTGAAAACCGCAAAAATGGATAAAGTGATAACATCTTTAAAACCACAAAACCATGGCACGCGACCTTGAGAAAATTTACCAGAAGAATGCGTTAACCTGTGGCACGCGACCGTGGGCAATTTACCTGAGCCTGGGAATCAAATGGTGACCGAGGGAAAATATCAAGATGCCCTGCTCACGGAATGGAGGCTCTGCCCAATTCCGGAATGTAGGCCCCAATTCCAGAATGCTAAAATGTAAGGTTACTTCAGTGAAGTAACGCATTATCGACTGATGTATTACCTAATAACACAGGCCCACAAAACAAATGGAATGGAATTTACATGTAAGTATCTACCGGTATGGATTTTGAGCCGCTGAATCCAAATTTGACCCCGTATTTGACCCCCCAGTTTTCCCCTAGCCTAGGGAAAATGCGTGAAATCTTAGAAGTTTCAGTATCTGTGAAAGCAATGTTAATCTACGCAATATTAAATAAAACTATAATGTTTTTAAGTATCTCGAGTCGCTTAGTTCGAATCTCACTGTGGAATTTACCTAGAGTATCTCAGAATTCCACTAGCCTAGGGGAATAAGTGTTAAGCTGATCAAAACTTGCGATTTCTGGGAGGTTCTACATTTTCGTATTTTGAGTTCCTGAATTCATATCTGACGTAAAAAATGTACACATTACTTCAGAATTTCCCTAGCCTAGGAAAAAAAAGTAGAAAATTGTGCAAAAAGTTTCATGCAGGCCTTTTTCGTACGGCAAAGCTGATATCTTTCCGTCTTCTGAGTTGCCGTATGCATTTATCTTATAAGCATTTTTATCCAGCTTCTCACAATTGCCCTAGCCTACGAGAAATTCCAAGATATTAGTTTGTTCGTCTTTTCGTTGTTTTTTTATCGTCAAACCTCATACCCCCTAGACCTAAGTATGAGGGCTTTCCAACTTTGACGAGGACCATATCAACTCATCGTCGGGCACTCTACGGCATCATCCTCACTTCTTAACGCCCACCTGCAGGGCAGCGCGCCTTCGCTGGCTTCGTTACCTTGACAAACCTGAGTACGAATCATTCTACACATCCCCTTTCGGGGCAGTTTTCATCGTCCAAGTTTGTGCCAAGGCAGCAGGATTTTGCAGTTTGTTAAGAACAATCATGGTTGTTTGTTGAAATGGGGTTTAATATGCGATACAGGCTCAAGATT